ATAGACATTTTTGTAGACAAATTCTTCACCCAAAATAATCAAAAACCTGTTGTCATTAAGCTTGATTTTTAATAGGTAACTCTATTCTGTATAAAAAAAACTTTTATTATAAACTGCATTGAGGACTTTTTTTAAAGTCAGTGATGTGAAACTATTTTAAAGAAATAAATAAAACATGAGGAAGCAGGAACTATTTTTTTTCTCCCAAGCTCTTTGTATCACCACAATAAGATGGGGTCTTGTAGACCCTAGTCTTACTGTATAAATAACAAATAAACATTGCATAAGTGGCACTTCTCTTGCTTTTCTCTTTCCATTGAAGTATACAGTCATTTTCCCTCTTTGATAAGTATAGAAATTATATTCCTTAGTACAGATACCATTCCTGACCAGCCAGGCTGTTCCAGAAAATAAGAAATTATATTCATTTATAATAGTAACAGTTAAACATACTGCTATTCCAATGATATATACTCAAATCTTTGCTCAGCTTTGAATTTTAAAACACCATTAAAATACTTAGATGGAGTCTCAACACAGAAATAATAATTATGAAGAAGACTGCAAGATTCACATATTTTCAACTCAATCTGCTTTCAATACAATGCAATCGTATATGCTTTGGTCAATGCTTTAATTCCAAACAGTAAAAAAGACAATTCTCTCAATTAGTAATAAAGAACTTACAACTCTAAATTTTGCTGAAAAAATACCTCAGGAATACCAGCCAGCCAACTAGGGCCCATTGTGAAATATGCTTAGATATGCTTAAAGATATATGCTTAAAGCAACATTAGAAGATTATGGTATGTGTTCCTCATATAAGATGAATATGGATAAAGAGTTTTTCAGATACTCCCTTGTGTTTTTCAGTACCCTTCAACTATCTAATCATTCCTGCTCAGAGTTTACTAATAGATTGATTTTTGCAAATGACCTAACACCTGTCTCATAGTGATTGCATTGATAATATATTAGCCTGAATATCTGACTCATCATATGATACTAATGAATCTCTAATTCTCTAATTCTTATCAGTTTTTAAAACATAGTTCTTCCAGTTTTCTAACCCTTATAGTATTAAGTAAATTCTTAAGGTATATTTATTTACAAGGTCATTTTTGCTGTAGTATATTAGATGATACTTTAAAAATCTATTACTGTTATAGAAATCAGATATCAAGGGCATATTCATCAGTATACCACAGCAGAACACATTCAATAGACTTCATGTTCTAACCAACTAACAGATCAAAATAACAGAGTTGGAAGGGACCTTGGAGGTCTTCTAGTCCAACCCCCTGCTCAACAGGAAGTGCTATACCATCTCAGACAAATGGTTGTCCAATCTCGTCTTAAAAACCTCCAGTACTGGAGCATTCACAATTTCTGGAGGCAAGTTGTTCCACTGGTTGATTGCTCTCACTGCCAGGAAATTTCTCCTTAGTTCTAGGTTGCTTCTCTCCTTGATTAGTTTCCATCCATTACTTCTTGTTCTGCCTTCTGGTGCTTTGGAGAACAGGTTGACACTCCCCCCCCCTCCTTCTTTGTGGTAGTCCCTTAAAATACATCTCATCTCACTACAATTACAGAATGACTCCAGTGCCCTTTATTCTCAGCCTAGCTAGCCTTGAAATTTAAGTTATATCCTGCTGTAAATGATAATGAAAATTCCGTGTAGTGATTAAGGCTAGAAAATGAGAAACCATGTTCAAGTCCCACCATAGACCCAAAGGTCAACAAGTTGCACTATAGGCCCAAAGCCAACTGGTTGACCTTTGAGCCAATCCCTCTCTCTCAGCCCTAGAAAGTAGGCAAAGGCAAACCACTTCCCCAAAAACCTTGCCAAGAGAACAGCAGGGATTAGACCAGGCAGTTTGTCTGGTGTCAACCCTGACTCGAAGGCACACACACAAAAAAAAAAGATAATGGAGGGGTAGGAAGCTTCTATCCTTCAAGTGCTGCTGAGTTATAATTGTTAGGATCTCTCAATGTTAGACTTTCTGGCAGCAGCATTTGAGAAAGGACAATGCCTATAGACAGACAGTGAATGTACAGGAATTTTGCATCCTGTGATTTGTTTGTTCTAATGTCTAAGATATATTGGCTCAGAAAGGCTCATAAAGTTATCTTAAACAAGTATGAATGGCAAAATGGTATAAAGCATTTTTAAGAATGCTGCTTTTGCAATCTGAGGCACCAATAAGGCTCATAGGGAAGAGAGTCTGTGCTAACAATGTTTTCAGCATGGTAAATAAATTGCTCTCATTGCCACTTAATTTTATGAGTACATATCATTCTTGTTCAACATAGTGCTGCTATCCAGCATTCTTTAACTGAATACTATACCAACTGTTCTGAATTTTGTAAAAATTAATTGAAGTGCTATAGAAAACTGCATGAAAAGTTATTCTGAATTGTTTCCCACTTGAAAACCAGTTCCTCCTTGGTGGCAGTCTCTGCATTTGCCTGATTGCAAGTTTCCCTAAAAACTGGAGCTACAGAGGTCTGTAGCTGAAGGGAGCACACTTAAAAGTGACTAAGGAATGAAGGCGAATGTGTGAATGATTATTCATGGAGGAAAGTTTGCTTGATTTGCAGGCGTCAGATATACAGTATGTATGTGAGCCTAGACTTAGAGAGATTTGCTTGCACAATAGAGTTTCAGTGCCTCTTGTCTCCTGTTTGAATATAAGGGTTATGTGCCACAGAGATTATTCCCTGAAGTCAAAGCAAGCAAAGAAGGCAGAAAAGCTGCAGATTCATAATGCAGAGCTGTAATTAGTCAGCATTTGCTCTTCGTTTCAGGCTCCAGTACATCTTTTCCCCCTGAAGGATACTGCATTTGAGAGTGCAAGATTTCACTTGTTTAAAAAGAATGTTCTTGCTATATTGCACAAAGCATAAACTGGCACATACATCATATTAACAAACATTGTATTTTGTTAGATATTGGCTTAGTGTGTTGCAGAAACCAGATTGTCTGGCTTACCATGTTTGACAATTCAACCCCTGTGTAAACTGTATACAAATAAACCACACTGTTCTCTATTTGTATTAGCCAGTATTTATTTCCAAATACGGTTATTATTTACTGGCTGAGCATGCAGGGTTGTGTTAGGCTTGCTGTCATTGAACTAGAAGAGAATTAAAAGGGTCTCTATGCTGGGATTGCTGTGCCCACTAAGCAAGCTAAAGTCTTGAGGGAGTGGTCATTTTGAGATTTATCCTGGGGAGGAGTGTGTGTGTGTGTGTGTGTGTGTGTGTGTGTGTATCCTGCTCCCCGGGATAAAACTCAAAACGACTCCTTAGCCAAGACTTATATCTTGTCCATCAGGCAGCAAGGAAAATGCCCCTATAATCCCTGTGCAATTGTGCAACTGTAACAGAAATTAGCAGACCACTTAGTCTTCTTTCCACTCCCACTATCTGCCATTTCTTAAATTCACCTTTATGCTTTACAGAGAGAACTTTCAAAAAAGCAACAGTAACAGCAGCAGCCCTGTTAGAGGAGCCTGAAACGAACAGGTACCTGTCAATTCCATTTCCAACCACCGCAACTCCTGAAATATACCTCAGTAGTTTCAGGGTCCCCATAGGATCAATACTGCACAAGTACTTCCACGCTCAGTCCACTTGCAAGCAAACCAGCCAAGGTAAGGGTGGCAAGAAAGGAAGATTGCCTTGCACATAGGCCTGTCACTCCCCAGTCATTCTTGCTTGTTTTCTCAAAGCTCTAGGAAACATTTACTTTTAACTTGTTTTTTTTTCCCACAAAGGAAAAAATGTAATTCAATGTGAGGTTATAATAAAACGGGAGAAGTACAAAGGGCCGTGGATTTTGGCAGACCTGGAAAGAGAACAAGGAGGGGGGCCTGATGAGGAGGGAGGCAGGCAGCTGGATATTGCAAATGCTCTGCTGGCTGGGCAAACTTCTGAGTGTTTGCAGCTGGAGAAAGGAACTCACAAAAGGGATTATGCCTTAACTTGGCAGGGGGAGAGAAAGGAGCCACCCTCTCCAGCGGAGAGAAATGCCGTTTCCCCTTTCTGTTTGCAAGGGAGCATGACTGGCAGAGGCCTTTCAGAATCATGACACCTTTCGGCAACTGTGCTCTGGAGCAGAACCTCTCCATGACCTTTCTTAGGTTTATTTGGTTTGGGCAAAAAGTACTTTTCACACAACATTAATCTACACACAGAGATCACTCACTCACCCACCCACCCACCCACCCCCCACTCTACTTCCACAGACACACACACTTTAAGTTCCAAACCCACAGAACAGTAGGGTGACAAAGCTCTCAACAGGGATGAGTTTGCACAATGCGTTTCACGTTGCCAAAGCTGGAGGCAGCCACTTTCTGCACAGAGCTTCTCTCTTCAAGTGCATCTTATCTGCTGGGTGGAAGAACTTTGCACAACTTAGGGGAAAGCATTAGGTTTCTGCAGTCAGTTGTGGGGGGGGGGGAAGCCCGGACGAACATTTTGAGGAGCAGAGGCCTTTCATTCAACTCAACCTTTCCGATCTGACCCCCTCCTGGCATTTGCTCTCTAGCGCGCAGGGGAGGGGTCGGGTTAAGCATTAAACTAACCTGATAGTGAAATCAGCCCTTAAGAGATACTCAAAGAAATCCGGCCCAGGCGGGGATGGAGAGGACTTAGTGCGGATGCCTTCTTCACACCTGGTCAGCTCTCTCTCCCCCACCCTCCGGCAAAAACCCAGCCATCTGCAGCAAAGAAGCCCACCCATTCCCTTTGATTTGGAGGTCCCTGGCGACGCCAGCGCTGCTGCTTGCCGCCGCCGCTGCTGCTGCTGCTGCTCTGGGAGCAGTTTCTGCCGAGCTGCAATAAACAATAAACCCAAGACTCGCAGAGGCGAAGCGGCTGGCTGGCCGGCTGGCTCTCCTCCTCCCTCCCCCAAGCCCGCGGCCGCGAAAGTTGCGCTTGGCCGCTGCAGGCAGCCCGGCTCCTGCCTCCTTAACAAAGAAGCCCCGGCTTACTTTCTTGAGCCATGCTGATGACAGTCTCGGTGGTGGCGTGGTACTCGTCCTCCTCCAGGTAGTCGTCGTGCTGGAAGGAGTCCCCCTGGAAGTCGTGCAAGTCCAGGATCTGCTGCAGCGGCGGGGCTTTGGGCAGCAGCTGGTTGACCACCTCGCGGGTGATGTTGGGCGCCTCTTTGAGCCTCAGCTTGCTGAGGATCTGCGACTTGATGCTCTCCAGCCTCATCTCTTTGCTGTGCTTGCGCCAAAGACACACCGGGCAGCTCTGGTCCTCGGCTTCTGTCACCAGGGGGACGCCCTCCGTGGGCGCCTTCTCGCTCGGCTCGCCCGCGCACAACTCCAGGGACAGGACCAGGAAGCCCCAGAAGACGGTCGACTTGGGCACCGGCATGTCTGGCGCTTCTCCGCTCCCTCCCCAGCCAAGCAAGCCCGCTCCTTTCTCTCGCGGAGCACAATCGCTCTGGCTCGGCCTCGGGATGATGGGCTGCAGCTGCTGGGTGCTTGGGGGGTGGTGCCGCCGCCGCCGCCGCTAAGTTCTTGGGGGTTGGAGATGGGGGGGGCCGACTTGCTGGTTGGGGGAAGGAGAGGAGGGGGGGGGAAGAAAGAAGGACTCTCCTTTTATATCCCAACTGAACTGTGTCGTAAAAAGCCTTGATTGGCTGCGGAGGCAACAAAAGAGCTCTCGGCAAAAGGGCTGTCACCGGCAGGGGAAAGCGAGCGGACTTCTCCGCGCTCTCCTCGGGTCAGGGCGAAGCATTCCGACCGCGCTCGCCTCGCCTGGTGTCAAACCTTTTAAAGGCTGGCAGCGCTCTTTGAAGCGAGGAGGGGAGGGGGCGCCCAGATGGGGAGGGAGGGAGGGAGCGTGTGGAGGAGGCATCTGACAACCCCTTAAAGAAACAAGTCCCCTTTTTCCTTCCCCCGCGCGCTACCTTCCCGCGGCAGGCGGAGCGGGGTGGCTTTCAGCCCCGGGCTCCGAGGGGAGGAGGCGCTCGTAACAATACGCGGGGAGGGGCGGCTCGGGCACTCGGGGTGGACCCGGGCGAAGCGGTGGCCGGGCGAGCGACGAGGGCGAGGGAAAACCGTTAGCTGCTACCCTCGACCTCATTCCGCCTCGGGCGCCGGCCCACCTGGCGCTCCCGGAGCCCCTGCGGGCTTCCGCACTTCTCAGGCGGCAAGCGCCGCTTTGCCTCAGCGCAGAGTTTACCTCAGCGTCCCTCCCCTTCTCTCCCCTCTCTGGGCCATTTGACAGTTTCTAAGTGCCCGTGTCGTCTAACTCCCCGATCGATTCGACCGTTTCTAGCTCTCTCTCCTTTTCTCTCCGGGTCCTGGTGGCTTTGACAGTCCTCCCCGCTCCCGCCCGGCGAGGCACGCGCGCGGACTGCGGAGACCTCGCCCGCCCGCCTGTCGCCCGAAGCTGGCCTAGAGGGCGGGCTGCTGTCACCCTCCACTGCCCTCGGGCAATAGGCGCCGGGGCTGCCCCGCGCTTCGCTGCGTGCGCTGTCTCCCGCGGCCGCCCCTCTCCCCTGCCCAGCATCCGAGCGGCTGGGGCGGGTGCCCGGCGGAGTTCCGACCCGGAGCCCAGCCACGTGCGGCCGTGTTGTTTTGGCCGTCGGAGAACAGAGGGGCGGCCGACTCGCGAGGGCTGAGCCGGAGAAGACGCGCAGGCCAAGCGCAGCACCTTCCGCGCCGGCGCCCGCGGGACTCCCGGCGGGCTCGGGAAAGCCGAGCTTGCTTGCTTGCTCTCGTCCTCTCTCCGCCGGCCCCGGAGCGGAAGGGGGGCGAGGGAGCGGGCCAGGTGAGGCGCCAATGGAGCGGTAGGGCCGAACAGGGGCAGCCGGAGCCGGAAGAAAGGAGGTCCTGGGGCTGCGGTGCTGTGCCGAGCAAAGCGCCGTTTCACCTGCCAGCAGAGCTTCAATTTCACTTACGCTAAAGTTCAGCCGAGGCAACCGTAGTGTGCATGAAGCCCCGTCAAACATGATCTCCTCCTGCCTTGCCCAAGGGACACCTCTGCTTTGGTGGGTCCTGTAAAACCCCCACCAAATATTCCAGTGTGATCCTCGGAAGGAATGGGTTGATTTGTAATTTCTATGCTCCACAAATAGTATAAGTGTAAATTAGCGTGCTCTTCCCCCCCCCCATAGGTAAAAGGAAGGAGCATAGAACATCTTAATTTCCTGAAATAATCAACCTAAGTTTGGGAGAGGTAAACCTCCCTCCCCCCAGCCTCCTAAATCCTTTGGACCAGAACCCTTTGAAGTCCCAGCCGGTGTGGACAGTGACCTGGAATTACATAGGTGATCTATCACTCTAAAGAGCACCAAGCTGCCTATCTTAGTGCCCATCAGCATGACTATAAACCTGGGAAAAGGAGCATTGTAAGAAAAATGCACATTTCAAACAGTATTTGTCTTCAGCCATTCTGTGTATGGATGTTATAGGATTATATGACCTTAGAGTACATGTTCCTTATTACTTGTTTAATTTAAATGATCTAAGCAGATTTCTCTTTAGAGAGGGATCGTACAGAAGAACACTCCCTTGTCCTGCTACCTAAAAGTTCACATCAGTCCCTGGCCTGGAATCTCCAGGTAGGGCTAGAAAAAAACCTCATGATCTGAAACGCTGGCACACTGCTCCCTCTTTCTGCCACCCCCAGCCTGGCATTTCCATCCATTGGGTCCTTCACCTCTTAACATTCCTGAGCAGCAAAAGCACATACACTAAAAGGTCAACCTGAGAAAAGATGGTCTCATTTATCACATAGAGTTGCTTAGTAAGAAGTCTGGCCCTTTCTCCAAACGATGAGTGGGGATGGGGGGGTGCAAGGGTAGACACTTTCATGAAGAAAATATGTACAGTTATGTACCCAGTAAAGTAGCCTGACAGAATTTCTTTCTCCTGCTAATCATCATCATCTTCAGGTCAAGGGATCCATGACTACAAGCATGTGTGAACTGAAGCTGGTTTTACTTCTGTATTTCTTCATGCCTAGTCTTGGCTAAGCCTATCAACTGAGTGGGCTTTATCATTAAGCATAAGGCTCAATATTTCTTTTTTACATAGAAAACTAAGACATGTAGAGACAACAAACATAGATAAGTCATTATTTAGACACACAGAGAATATGCATTGTGTAAAAAAAAAATGTTTCAGTCCATCAGTGAAATTTTGCCGGAAAGAAATGTAGAAATGTTCCACTGCAGTGAATAGAGAGAAAGTTTCTACATATGAAAACAATATTATTAAAGTGATTCCTTTAAACAAGCCACCAGTATTTTCCCTTCTTACCCTGATGGGTACTAAGAACTGATGGGTGTTGTTAATGTGTGTTCATATTGTTCAGACATAGGTCAGCTTTGAGAATTTCATGCTAAATTCAATTTGCCATTCTTGGCTTTTAAGCTTCTGTTATGATCGCTCAGACTGACTAATTCTAATCAGTACTTGCAAAAACTATCAAAGATCCTGGAGCATTGGGGAACTACCAGAGCACTGAAAAAGAGCTGATGTGGTTCTAATCTTCAAAAAAGGAAAAAATAATGGATCCAGGAAACTATAGACCAATGGTTCTCAACCTTTTTAATGCTGCGACCCCCAACCGGTCGTAAGTCGAGGACTACTCAACCGGTCGTAAGTCGAGGACTACTCAACTGGTGCAGCACCGTTTGCAGAATGGGACTTTTGGCGGGCTCAGCAGGGCAGAGACAGCCTGGACAATTCCTATTGGCTTTTGAAAGCCAATAGAATTAGACTCTATTCAAGAAAGTCTATTCTATTGGTTTTCAAAAGCCAGTAGAATAAAAGGGAGTAGCACAGCTAAGGAAAAGGGGGGGGGGGAAAAGGCGGACTGCATTATTTGGCGACCCCCGTGAAATGGTCGTTCGACCCCAAATGGGGTCCTGACCCAAAGGTTGAGAACCACTGCTATAGACCAATCAGTCTGGCACCAATAACTGGGAAGATCCTGGTAAAGATTATCAAGCAACAGATCTGCAAACACCTAGAAGCAAGCAAAGTTATAATCAGAAGCCAACATGGATTTGTCAAAAATAGATCATGCCAAACAAATCTTACTTCATTCTTTGACAAAGTGACTAAATTAGTGGACCAACGAAATACTGTGGACATTGTATACTTGGACTTGGTAAAGCATTTGTAAAGTAGATCACAGCCTACTTCTTAATAATATAAAAAATGTAGGATAGCATCAACTCCAGATGGATTCAAAACTGGCTGATAACCACACTCAATGTGCAGTCCTCACATGCAGTGGGTATCCCGGTACTCTTTAACATCTTCATAAATAATTTAGCTGAGGGGATAGAAGGGAAATTCATCAAATTTGCAGAGGACACCAAGCTCTGGGGAATACCCAACACTCCAGAAGATAGGCTCAAGATCCAGAAGGATCTTGATAGACTTGAATACTGGGCCCTAGCCAATAAAATGAAATTCACTGTTGAGAAAAGTAAGGTTTTACACTTAGGCAAGAAAAACCAAATGCAGATACAGAATAGGTGATGCCTGGCTCAACAGCAATAACTGTGAGAGGGATCTAGGAGTGCTAATGGACAGTCAGCAGTGTGTTACAGCTACCAAAAAAGCCAAGGCAGTCCTGGACTGCATCAACAAAGGGATAACATCAAGACCATGTGAAGTGTTAGTACTGCTTTATCCTACACTGGTAAAACCACACTTGGAATACTGCATTCAATTTTTGGTTGTCAAAATATAAAAGAGATGTTGAGATTCTAGAAAGAGTGCAGAGAAGAGCAACGGAGATGATTAGGGGACTGGAGACTAAAACATATGATGAACAGCTGCAGGAATTGAATATGTCTAGTCTTGCAAAGGGTGACAGAATGGCAGTTTTCCAATATTTGAGGGGCTGCCACAGCAAGGAAGGGGTCGACGTATTCTCCAAAAGCACCTGAGGGCAGGACAAGAAGTAACAGTTGGAGTGATTCAACCTAGAACTAAAGAGAATTTTCCTGACATGAGAACAATTAATCAGTAGAACAACTTGCCTCCAGAAGTTGTGGATGCTCCATCACTGGAGGTTTTTAAGAAGAAATTGAACAGTCATTTGTATGGAATGGTATAGGGTCTCCTGTTTGAGCAGGGGATTAGACTAGAACACCCTTAAGGTCTCTTCCAACTCTATTATTCCGTTAATACTGTTAAAATGTTTTCTCTTTTTATAAGCTACTTTGGATACTTAGTACTGTAGAATGGGATAAATCTAAGATACAAACTACATGAAAGTGCACAGGTCATCTAAATCCAACAAATTGACTAGATGCATTTGTTAACATAAATGAACAGTTGCATCAAGAACTATTATTAGGCATGACTCATTCCCCACAAGCGTAGTTGGATTGTAGATCATAGTGAATGGCTATGTCAATCATAATGTAATTACATTGCCTTTGGTTTAACTGGCCATATGTACCAATCAATGCTGGTTGCAAATCATAGTCAATAGTTCTGAACAATATATAAATACAATCAAGTGGCTTATCTACATATCATAGTTTAAAGCAGTCA